TTCTATCTACTTTTGGAAAAGTTTAGAAAAAAGGTCCAGTGGGGTATAGTTAAAAAAAGAAAAAGACCTTGGGGGAGAAAAAATGGTTTTGGTAATCCAATTTTTGGTAAAGTTAGTGTTACAGAATATTTTCCCTTAATTATGTACACACTGCTATGATTATATTCAGATTATAATTGATTGACATAATTAGATTAATTGATTTTGTACCATACAATATTCTCTTGTACCATAAAATATTCTCTTATACAGGCCTAAAAATAGACACTTTGTATATTCAAATCAATCAAGAAAAGTATTTTCTTCATATTTTTCTCTCCTGCTTATTTCCTCACATGGTATCAGAGCACAGTGGGCTCTTTTTTCTTTGAGATTTTGTGTTTTTTTAATTCTCTACATCAGCAGCTCCATTTCGTGCCAACCACCAGTGGTGTTTGTTTCAATCGTGTTCAACTCGTTCCGATTGTGTTCAACTTGCAAATTAGTTTCGGATTTTGCTCCTACGGGTTCCACTGATCCTTCGCCCAGATTTTGGCTGTTGTGACTGCCGTTGTCAGCCATATATCAGCCATCCGAAATTGCTCCCATCTTTTCCGGTGTTCCACTTTTTGCCCGGTCATATTTTCCTTTTCTTGCAGCATATTTTTTATTTAATTATGGAAAAATCTAATATTTCACAACCAATTTCAACCATTCTCAATGGTTCAAATTATGTATTGTGGGCTCAAAGTATGCGCAGTTTCTTGAAAGGTCGAAAATTATGGCGGTATATTACTAGTGACATTACACTTCCAGAGAAAGTTACTGATGAGACAGATAAGAAGTATGTTGACCATCTAGAGGATTGGGACACCTCAATTCCTTCCATTCATCTTCAGTTTGGATGATATGAAACAGCTAAGGAAGTGTGGGATTTGCTTGCAGCCAGGTATACCACTTCTGATTTATCCAGTCAATATCAATTGTGGGAAGAGTTACACAATTTGAAACAAGAACGTGGAGAGTCCATTACTAGTTTTTATGCTAAGATGGAGGCTATTTGGGATCAGCTTGCTCTCTCAGAACCAACCTTTAATGACACTGCTGATATTGGGAAGTACATTGAGTATCGTGATAAAACGAGGTTAATTCAATTTCTTATGGCACTTACTGATGATTTTGAACCATGCAGAGCCTCTTTATTGCATCAGTCTCCTTTACCTACCTTGGATAGTGCTCTCTCACGATTATTATCTGATGAAACTCGTCTGGGCTTACTTAAGCCTCAATGAGATACTACTGTGGTTGCAGCTATCAATAAGTTTCCTTTGAGTAAGAGAGGACAGAAGCATTGCCGGCACTGTAACAAGTACGGACATGCTCTATATGAATGCAGTTTGGTAGAATGTCATAAATGCAAGCAGAAAGGCCATATTATGCCTAATTGTACTTCACTACCTCAGAGATCTGATCAGTGGAAGACCCAATCAAAGCCTAATCAATCTTCCAAGCCTGTGGTTGTTGCAGCTACTGCCAATGAGGATACCTCAGTCCATCCTTCGATTGGTAATCTAGAAACCTTTCTTAGACAGATGATATCATCTTCCTCTACATCTACTGCCTTGCCTACCATCCCAGGTAAAGTTTCTTGGATTTTTGACTCGGGTTGTTGTAATGATATGACCTCAAACTCTACACTTTTTTCTACATTAACTCCTAACACCACCGCACCTTCTATCCATATTGCTGATGGTTCACAAATGCAAGTTAGCCAATATGGTCAAGTTTCTACTTCTACCCTTACCTTACCAAACACTTTCCTGATACCAAAACTTACTTTCAATCTTATTTCTGTGGGACAATTGTGTGAACTTAGTCTTGAACTAATATTCTCTACTCATGGTTGTCGTGTGCAGGATCCATAGACGGGACAGATTCTTGGGACAGGCCGTAAAGTTGGACGTTTGTTTGAGCTCACCTCCTTGCACATCCCTTCTAGTTACGTTTCCCAGTTGTGTGCCATCTCAACATCTTCCTCCTTGCACTTGTGGCATCTTCGTCTTGGTCATGCCTCTATTAGTAAACTTCGTCCTTTAATTCAAAATGGGTCTTTAGGTTCTATTAAAGAAAAGTCTTTACATTGTGTCTCATGTCAAGTCGCTAAACAGCCTGCTTTATCTTTTAATAAAAGTGATTCTATTTCACTTGCACCTTTTGATTTAGTACATTCTGACATATGGGGGCCATCTCCCACTCCTACCATGGGTGGTTCAAAATATTTTGTGTTATTTATTGATGATCATTCTCGCTTCACTTGGCTATATTTGATGAAAAAACACTCAGAATTACCTCAAATTTATGTTGAGTTTGCTAATATGATCAAGACTAAATTCTCTAAAACTATCAAGGTCTTGAGAACTAATAATGCTCTTGAATATCTCGATTCTAAATTTCAGTCTTTTCTTAAAGAGCAGGGCACAATACAACAAAGATCTTGTCCATATACCTCTCAACAAAATGGGCGGGTTGAGCGAAAACATCGTCATATTTTGGACTTGGTTCGTGCTCTCTTGATTTCCTCTTCATGTCCTGAGTGTTTTTGGGGTGAAGCTGCACTTACAACTGTCTATGTCATAAATCGAGTCCCTTTTATCGTCACACAAAATAAATCTCCCTATGAGTGTCTTTACGGTATTCTTCCTACCTACGATCTTTTTAAAATTTTTGGTTGTGCTTATTTTGTTCTTTTACCTTCTCATGAACATCATAAGTTAGAGCCTCAAGCTCGACTTTGTTGTTTTCTGGGGTATGGGATACACCATAAAGGTTATCGTTGTTGGGATCCAGTATCACAAAAACTCCGTGTCTCTCGTCATGTTGTTTTTTGGGAACACACTATGTTTGCTTCTCTTTCTGAATTCAAGGTGTCTCCTTCTCATCACCCTCCTATCTTCA